TTTACAAAAAAGGAAATTTATGTTCAGAAGAAGAAGACTCGATCGCTTGGACAATACGTTCATTCGCCTCGGCTCTGCGAATAGGTTGAGGCCTCACGAAGGGTAAATATTTCTCATCTTCGGGCCGATCTAAGCGCATCGCGCCCAAATAAATTGCCAATACAAGCGAAAATGCGTGTCCCAGGAAGCATTTGAGAAGAAGACTCGATCGCCGGCGAATAAACGTATTGTCCCAGCGATCGAGTCTTCTTCTCAATTGCTTCCTGGGACACGCATGTTCGCTTGTATTGGAAATTTATGTTCGTCTATGACGACTCTAGTTCCAGATTTCTAAGACATGGTGAAATCACAACAGCTTTGTAATGAGGGCCAGTCATTGCGTACGTGATTGCAACTAACAGTGCAAGCTCTGTAGTTCCAGAGCTTAGAACATTTAATTCCGACATTTCAACGAGATGAACCACTGCACTGAGAGCTCAAGGCCGAAGTGGGCATGCATCTGTTTAAGGTTCAGTTCAGTATATTTTCGGGACGTAGGCTTTCGCCTTTGAAATTCCTGCTCGTCATGTGAAAATCTCCTGAATTAGAAACAATATGAAGAAATTTAAATGTCAAGTGCACCTTGACGTAGTCACATAAGACACTGGTGTTTTACAGTTTTCCATTTCTTTTGGATGCACCTGCTAGGAGCGCTCACATTAGGCGCCTATTAATGATTGAAGAGGATTTTAGTTGGGCCGAAAACGACTATCCTTGTCACTTTGGTAGCCCCCCATATTTCACTCGGTCTGAAGATTTGCAGTTCTGTCTTTGTCTCTTGAACTTATCTCGAAAGTTATGTGTGCATGCACCATTTTTACCGATTTTGCTTTCTCACAGGCAAATACTTATTTTATAAAGCCAGTCAGCTTACTGTGTCAGAATTGATGGATTCCATGCGTTGTAGTAGGCCGGATGGGTAAACTGACACAGGTGTGAGTAAACTCACGGCTCGCGGTGGTGCCTCGTAGCTCACGTGTTTGCCTGTAATGACGCCTTCCCCCTGCTGTCGTGGCTTCACATCTCAGTTTTTCACAATTGGGTCAAATGAATTATTCAAATCCGACAAACTATTTTGTTTGCATCTGTACTCTCGGAACGAGACAATCCTGCTGTAAACGCTATAGTTCTGTTGTGAACCATATCTAGTGGTGACGTATGCAGATTTGACTTTATTTTAGTATTGGTGGTGCTTCTCAATTTAAACTGTAATTTTTAAAGGTAAAAGCAGTCACACACTCAAAGCGCCAAAATGTGTCTCTCAATTGTTGACCCCTCTCTGTTCCCCCCGAAAAGTTTCCGGCGTGTGGTGTATCACACGCTTTGTCCTAAGAACGGCAGAAGTACTCTTGTGTCTTTACCACATTGCACAAAACGAATACCTAATTTACGTTGACTGTATATCTATGTCAGTATGCTTGTTTACTAGTAGACCAAGTTCTAAGCTTGCAACTACCTAACAGAGTAGCAAAATATCTAGTAAGCGTTTGCGAAAGCTGACGAGCTTCTGCCCGTTTCGAGTTTCTCTTTTCTTTTATACTCAACTGTAGATAAAAAAAGTTGAGCATTCATGTATATATGCTAGCTTATGGTCATTATTTTCGGTGTGGCAAAACAAACTACAGCTGCACCAGTTTAATAGTTAGTTTTATGGCACAAAACATATGAGATTTACAAACAGTATTTTTTAAACTGAATCTGCTCCTCTTTTCCCGAAAACGATGCGATTTTTCATACTTGCATTTACCCGATTTTCATGAAGGTAAAACGAACTTTTTAGTTCTCCGAAGATTAGTTAGTAACGTTGTCATATTTCTGGCTTATATTAATGTACAACACACATAGCTAAGACGTTGTGATCCGCCGCACTTAAGAGCATAGGAAATTCCTTGGATATCGAGAAACGTTGGATTTGGTCCAATTTTTCCTTCAATACACTGAACTGAATCATTTTCTATTAAATAGCCTTTTGCGCCTCAAGTCAATTAAACAAACAGAAGAAACAAACTCAATTGTGTGTTAAACCACCTCCTCAAGTTTCGATTTTCACATTTCATGAGTTA